GCTCTGAAACATGATAATTGCTATTTATCAGCATGCTTAATTTTAGACAATTATCCAAGAATTTCGGTACAAACAGTAAACAATTAGGCCTACTAGAGAAATTTTATGTCGGAGCAGGATCTGAGCGGGAATTGGTTTACGGCGAGCGTGAGCGGAATATTAACGGAGCGCTTGCTTGGGCGGTTAGAGCGAATGAGTGGAGCGCATGTCCATAGAGCGGAAAACGCCGCTCCCACCGCTCCGCTTCGCTCACATGCTGTTTACAATGTTTTAATATTACACTATGAATATTATATTCCATTATATTTATTACATTAGTTATTATTATATTGGTTTATATTACATAATGTAGCAATTCAGAATTTGTAACAGTAAATAGATACTCCTCTAAACACACTTACAGATTACTATTCTACTTCAACAGGACTAACTAGATGAAGACACGCGTGAGCTCACTGACCTCGACATGCGCGGACTGCAGCAGCAGGTCTCGGAGTGGGTTATAATGCTCTGTGGGGAACACGTGGTCCTCCGTGTAAACGATGTTGAGTCGTAACGAGCCCAGCTCATCGGCCTTCACCGATTTATTGCCATTATCTCTTGGCTGCAGGAAGTACCTGAAAGAGACGGCAGAGCGGATGATGAGCTCCAGAACACAAAACACGAGTTGCTTCAGACAGAACATGCATGAAGAGAGCCGTACCATGCATCATGAACACCTGACTGTCCCAGCACCTTCAGCGGCACCCGTACCTCTCCGAGAAACTCGTCTCCGAACTTCAGATTGCTGGCGTTCCACAGATCCACCCTAAGAACAGTGTTTACACTTATTCACTAGCATCAGTGATGTAAATGGAAATTTAAACTATTATATATATATGTTTTAATTATACAATTAAAAACATAATAATCTCATATTCCACTTACATCTTCATCTCATCAGCAATTTTGATTTTGGCCTGCTCAACATTGTGATGTCTATCAGCCCAACCCTACTATATATATATGTATATATATATACATACAGTATCTATCTATCTATATATATACACACACACACACACACACACAGTGGAGAAGCCAGTTCTGTGATCCTATGAACACGCATGATTGTCTACTGTAAATAAAATGTCATATTCTTGGAATAAGAATAAATTCATATTTAATAATATCCTATTTATTATTTGATTATTTAAATCTCCTATTTAAAAAATGGGAAACAGACGCTCTATAGTTGAAATGTTTTTTTATCTTGCATTTTATCTCTCAAAATGATGGATGTCATTAAAAATGTGGAGATTAGCAGAAATAAGTTAATGCAACTCTTACATAAGGTAAACATAAAGCTGCTTGGTTTATATTTTTATGTATGTATTTGTAGGCCTGTATAATACAAATTTTTTAATGGTATTGCATACCTGTTGCTGCCATAATAATGTTTCAAAATGTTCAAATGTTTACGTGCTTTTCTTGTCTTTCTTCTTTTTGTTCGTAACAGCTCCCACTCGCTGTGGTGGAGCAGTTATGACATATTGTTCTTGTAAATACTTTCCAGCATTTCAGTTTTTTTTTTTCAGTAATAAATATGCATGCAAATTACAGCAAAGTGCAAGAGTTACCGTATGGTGTTCGGCAGTGGTCAAAAAGGATTTAAACATTGAATTTTGAATCGATTTCTTCTTGTAAACTCAGAGATGTGGATTTGGACGGCAATTAAATTACCACACGACCTTGGTGTTTGTCAAAAAACAGTAGGTAATTCGGCCATGGATTTTTATGTGGGTGGTGGGAGAAAAACACTGACATATGGATTCAGACGGCAATAAAATCACTGACTAAAGTCCTGTTCACACCAAGGACGATAACTATAAAGATAACGATAAAGATATAGTTCTAAAAATCGTTCTCAGTATTAAAGAATAGTCCACACCACAGCTATAATGATAAAGGCACAGAGAAACGATATCGTTGGAATCACTTTCAGAACGATTTTTTTCAAGCTGATGAACGATAAAAATGTTGACAGCCAATCAGAATCAGTCCTGCTATGATGAGCTCGAGAATTTAATGCGGCAGACGAGCGTGAGCTTGGAATAAACAGACGATATCGTTCTTGGTGTGAACAGGCCTTAACCCCTGTAAATGTTGAAAATCACTTATCCCCATGAGAAACAAAATCACATCTCCATGAGAAACAATTACTGTCCGAATTGGGCTATTGTTATGGAAACTAAAACTAAAACATAAAAAAAAATGTTACTTGGAAAAACAAATAAACGTTACCTGAAATAAAATAAAATTCCAGCTAATTTTTCATTTTCATGATGTACTAAAATAGCTACAACTGAAATAAAAATGAATAAAAACTACAGTACATAGACATATAAAAATAAAAAACTCATAAAAATGATAAAAACACAACAATCACTACAACTTTAACTAATTAAAATGAAAAATCGAAAATAGAAAACCAAAAACTATTTCAAAATATTGATAAAAACTATAACAGTATCTCAATGATACTAAAATAACACCGTTAATGAAACATATTCCCATTTCTATAAATGTTTGTGGTGGGAATAACATCCTCACTGAGTAAAACAACAACAACTCGTATCACAAAAGAAAATTAGATGTTGTAGAACTAGGTCACTGCCATTATCAGCAATGAATCCTTACACATGCTGAGCTGATACGACACACATTCAGTTCCTATGATCACACTGCACAGCTGCTGCAGTCACAATCTGATGGTGTTTACAAACATCATTTCTTATTAGACTGCTGTGAATATAACCGTCACATCAAAGCACATGATGCGCAAAGATGCTGAATTACAAACACAGACTGCATCTGAGAATCACACACACACTCACACACCCACACATACTTATATATGTGGTTTACGGTAGGGCTGTGCGATTAATCAAAATCGAATCGAAATCGCAATTTGAGACGTTACGATTTCCTAATCGCAAAGCCTGCGATGTGGACGCGATATTACTCTGTTCCAGAGCATATGCATGACTGCCAGCCTTGAGTTGCAATCTTACTTGCCCTGGGCAAGAGTGAGCGCACCTCCGTTCTCCCCAATCAGCACTGCTCTAGCCAACTGCGTAAACACCCACCATTAAAAAAAAAAA